GGCCTTTTGGGCCCAAACCAATTTATAATCTCCATGTACTGATTTATGTCTTTGCCTGTAACTTCTGCCTCCCCAGAATGTGTAAAACCAAACTGTAATCTAACCACCTCAGGACCACTTATTCAAAGCTTCTTGGGTTTGTTTCCCCAGGCCACAGCCACTTATATTGGCTCAGAATAAATTCTTTGAACTATTTTATAGAGCTTGGTTTTGCTGTTAACGGGGGCCAGTCAGAAAAGTGAAGCAGTGAAGCTCAGAAAGTCCCACATGCAGCATACAGAGTCCCTTCTCCTCGGTCACCAGGAGCTCACAAAAGTGCATGAGAAAGTCTAAGTCCATTACAGAAAAGAAAGCAGCTTTATTTTTTTCTGCACACCTGATCAGTGCTGTGTGAAACTGCGACTCCACAACATCCGGAAATGCTGGACCCAGAGCCTGGCATCTATTAAGAGTCAATGAGCAGTAGCTATTGTTATTATAATAATTATTATTACGTTTTCTCCTGTCACATACCCCCTGAGGATCATACATTCTTTCTCTTTAACCTCTTTATGTTTGATTTAAAATGAGAATGAAACGCCCACTGTGAGTGACTGATGTAGACCCTGCGAAGTCAGGTCATTTGTATGTTAGGGAAAAATATTCAAAGCTTGGGGGAAAAAAAAAACCCAAAAAGACAATCGTGTAAACTTTTAATGTCATGCTAGAGCATTTTCTAATTAGCTATTTCTTTCCTCACAGTAATATTACTTTGTTTAATTTATTATTCACCATCAAGTCAGGCCCAGAGGGCCTCCCTAGTCTGCAAAGACAGATGTTAACTTTTAGAAAACTGAGTTGAAATCTTTTTTTTTTTTTTTTGAGATGGAGTCTCGCTCTGTTGCCCAGCTGGAGTGCAGTGGCGTGATCTCAGCTCACTGCAACCTCTGCCTCCTGGGTTCAAGCGATTCTCCTGCCTCAGCCTCCCAAGTAGCTGGGATTACAGGCATGTGCCACCAGGCCCAGCTAATTTTTGTATTTTTAGTAGAGACAGGGTTTCACCATGTTGGCCAGGCTGGTCTCGAATTCCTGACCTCAGATGATCTGCCCACCTCGGTCTCCCAAAGTGTTGGAATTATAGGCGTGAACCACCATGTCTGGCCAAAATCTTTTTTTTTTTTTCAGTCTAGTAGATAAGATAACCCCAAAGCTTGTGATTCTATTGTCCTATCAGTCGGTTTTATATTTAACTGAGCAAAGTTATTTCTGCATTTCTTTTTCTACTAATTACACAAACATCAGTTTCTCAAACCTTCTGCGGAATCATTCATTTATCCTCCTGCTTTTCTCCTTAGTGAGCTAAGGAAATCTTTGGCCAATGCCCATTATCTATTTTATGAGAACTATGTTTTTAACCATTTGTGAAATGTGATTTAACACAACTCTTTTGGGGTACATTCTGTAAACCCAAAATAAAATTCTAAGCCCCCTAGCCATGTAAATGGACCCCTCCTCTCAGCCAAGGGCATTTCAAAGTTAACCTGAAAAACCGTTTCAGGCCATGATGAGAAGGGAGGGTTGGACATGATGTCTCATTATACCCCCTTCCTTTTGGAATTCAGGAGAAGTCAACCAGCGTTAACATCAACACAGACCTTAAGTCTGATAAGAAACATTTACAATCTAGTCTCTCTGAAGCCTGCTACCTGGAGGCTTCATCTTCATGATAAAACGTTGGTCTGCACAACTCCTTATGTAATCCACACATTCCTTTCTATTGATAACAGCTCATTCAGCCAATAGCCAATCAGAAAATTGTAAAATCTACCTATGACCTGGAAGCACCTCCTCATCCCACTTTGAGTTGTCCTGCTTTTCCAGATTGAGCCAATGTAAATCTCACGTGTACTGACTGATGTCTTATGTCTCCCTAAAATGTACATAAGCAAGTTGTACCCCATCCACCTTGGGTCTATATCATTAGGATCTCCTGAGTCCGTGTCACTGGCACATCCTCAACCTTGGCAAAATAAACTTTCTAAATTGATTGAAATCTGTCTCAGATACTTTTGGGTTCAAAACTCTCAGCTCCTGTCTTCTTCACATCTTCCATCATGTTGTCATTGATTTGTCATTTGCGTAATTCCTTGTTCAATGTTTATCTGCCCGCCCACCCCCGCCATAAGCTAAGCTCCATGAAGTCATGTCTGTCTTATACCTCGATGTGTCTCTAGTGACCAGCACCTAGTGGACACTCAATATATTTTTCAAGAAAAGCCTAAGATTAAATACGGAGCCAAGACAAGGAAGTCATAAGGTGAACGATCGAAAGATGTGTGTGTGGTCCAAATGATACATCTCTTTCTTGCGAAACCAGTTTGATTTTTATTTTCTTTCACTCGAAGCTGAAAAAGTCCTGAATGAGACAATCCAGATATGCGACAATTTATCTTGAAGAAGTAATGGCAGTCCAATTGCCACTTCTCCCAAAGTTATAGTGGCAGGTTGAGCTATTTCTTCTGACTCCTTGACTCAGTTAACTGTGAAACGGTTGCCAAGGGGGCTTACCCAGCCTCTCTGTGGGTAATATTGAACGATATATATATATATATATATTTTTTTTTTTTCTGCCATAGGAAGGGAGCAAAATAAAATCTTCAGGAGAAAGGAGACACTGCAGCTGACTATGAAAACAACACTGCAGTACATCTGTGATCTGTGGTCAGCCTTGCTAAGGACTCCCAAGGAAGCAGCAGCTTCTCAGACACAATCTGACAGTGGGTTGCACATATCTTTTAGGTGAAGTGTACAAGCCACTCTGGTGTGCATGGAGCAAGTCATGAAACTGTCTTTGCAGAAATTGTAACGGTGAGAAAATGATGTCAGTGAAAGAGATCTGATCTAACTAACCCCCATCTTGCCTTTAACCTCCAAGCTGCCCTTACTCTTTCCTGGGCTTGGGCCAAGTTAACTTTGGGTCAGATTTCATGTTTATTTTATTCATTTTATTTTGTTTTATTTTATTTTGAGATGGGGTCTTGCTGTGTCACCCAGGCTAGAGTGCAGTGGCATGATCTCGGCTCACTGCAGCCTCTGCTTCCTGGGTTCAAGTGGTCCTCCTGCCTCAGCCTCCTGAGTAACTGGGACAACAGGCACATGCCACCATGCCCAGTTAATTTTTGTATTTTTAGTAGACACAGGGTTTCACCGTGTTGGCCAGGATGGTCTCAATCTCCTGACCTCGTGATCTACCCACCTCAGCCTCCCAAAGTGCTGGGAATACAGGGGCGAGCCACCGCGTCCGGCCTAGTGTATATTTTAAATGATAATAGCCCTTGCCCAAAATGAAACTACCTTCATAAAGCTAATGAGAGACCACTAGGTTAGGAGGATGAGAGGAGCCTGAATTCTGCTACGGTGTAGACATAAAGGATTGCCAGCCATTATTCCAGAGGCCATAAGATTTGCAACTTTCCCAATGACTCCTGCAGATAAAATCACTATTGTAGAACCTAACATTGGCCTTTTGAGATGTCTCTTCAGGTTTTCTACATTTCTGATAATCAATGGCTCCACCCCAACCAGACCGCCAACCTAACTTTGAAAGAAATTTGTTGTATATTTTAAATGATAACAGCCCTTCCCCAAAACTAAACTGCCTTTGTAAAACTAATGAAATATTGCCAAGTTAGGAAAATGAAAAGAGCCTGAATTCTACTAAGATGTAGACATGGATTATTATCAGCCTTTATCCCAGAGGTCACAACATTTCCAACTTCCCCAGTTACTCCTGCAGATTACATCACTATTGTAGAACCTGAGATTGGCCTTTTGAGATGTCTTTTCAGGCTTTTGCCTTTCTGACTCTCAGACTACCCCATCTGGACCTGCCTACCAGTTCTGTGGCCCCACCCAGAAGTGGACTCAGCGCACGAGGACCACTTCTCACACCCCTATTACTGCATCCCCAACCAGTCAGCAGCACCCATTCCCTAGCCACCCTACGCCTTGCCAAACTATCTTTGAAGAGCCCTAGCTTCCAAATTTTTAGGGAGGCTGATTTGAGTCATAAAAAAACTCTGTTCTCCCATTTAGCTGGCTCTATGTGTGTAAAACTCTTTCCCTATTGCAATCCTCCTGTCTTGATAAATCGGCTCTGTCTGGGCAGCAGGCACAAAGAAGCCACTGGGCAGTTACAGTCGCATCATATAGTTTAGTAAAGTGGGCCAGATGTAATAAAATAGGGAGTGGTGAGGACGGTGACAAATAGAAAATCCGTGTCCTGGCTAAAGGGGGCATTAACTATTCAACTGTTCTCAATTGTTGTCTTCTACTCCCAGATTTTTAAAATGCTAGAACTAATTCCCTTCCTCCCTCCCTCCCTCCCTTTCTCTGTCCCTCCCTCCGTTCCCCCCTTCCTTCCTTCCTGCTTTCCCTCTTTCTTCTTCCTTTCCTTCCCTTTCCCTTCTTCCTTCTTCTTCCTTCCTCCTTCTTCCTTCTCTCTCTTTCTTTCTCTCTTTCTCTCTCTCTCTCTCTCTTTCTCTCTTTCTCCTCACTCTGTCACCCAGGCTGGAGTGCAGTGGCTCAATCTCTGACCAACTTGCTCACTACACAACCTCCACCTCCAGGGTTCAAGTGATCCTCCCATCTCAGCCTCCTGAGTGCCTGGGACTACAGGCACACACCGCCATGCCCAGCTAATTTTTCATGTTTTTGGTAGAGATGTGGTTTCACCATGTTGCCCAGGCTGGTCTTGAACTCCTGAGCTCAAGTGATACACCTGCCTTGGCCTCCCAGAGTGCTGGAATTACAGGTGCGAGACACCGCACCTGGCCTCTTTCTTTGTTGTTTTTAGTACAAGGACCAAACAAAACATATCTGCGAGGCAGATCCAATCAACCAGACTTCACTTTGGGACTCTGCTTTACCATTTCAATTTTTGGAGAAAAAGGAAAACATACTTGACCCCGTGTTTGATGGAGCAAGCTGTATGGCAGCTTTCAAAGCAAAATCTTACTTACCAGCCATCAACACTGGCTTTCTGAAGTTCAGAAATCCCAAAGGACAAAGATCCCATGAAGTCATTCCTGCTGGTCAAATCCCAATCCCAAATCTCTACTGACAGTCTTCTGTCTTTGTCCGATTCTTTCAGCTGACTGCATAGAGAAAAAGACAAGACATCAGTGGAAGTCGTAGTAATTTTTCAAGCAGAAGAAATGTACAAGAGGACAAGACTTGGAGGTAGAAATTTTTAAAGATTCCAAGCTGCTGAAAGAAACATATTCAGTTTCCATCCCAGGCTAGCTCTCCAGGGAGTCAGAGCTTTTTCTGTTTGACAGCCTGTGGCTTAAACAGGCAGAGGCCCTAGATTGGCTATGACAAGAACAGTTCTAACTACTTTTGTTATCTTATGTCTTAATAGGGTTCAGGATATTCAGGAATTCCTATTGCCTATAAGAAATACAGGTATCAGTTGCATAACTGGGCGTGTATGATTTCTACCTGCACACAGGTGGGTTGAGAATGAGGCTGAGGAAATGTATGGAGAAAAATCCTGGGGAAATTGCCTGTTCTGAGACACGTCCTTGACTGAGGCTGAGAAAGGGCCCAGCTTTGCCCTGAGAGAGGGAAGAGGAGACAGGACAAGGAACCGTGCTTCTAGCTGGTAGCTAAAAAAGTATGACCTCTAAAGTCAGACTGCCGGAAGCTGAATTCCACTCCACTCCATATTTGCTATGGGACTTTGGCATACTCTTTTAACCTCTATAAACCCTATTGCTACATTGGGAATAGAATGAGTCGATAAAGTCAGATCGCTTAACCCAGTGTTTGTCACACATCATATATGCTCAGTGAATTGGCTGTTATGACTAACTCCTGATGCCTAGATGTATAAGAAAGAGACTCCCAGATTCTTGGAGCCCTGGCCAGCGAAGATCCTCAAGGGAGGCTGGTGGAGATGCCCCAGCAGGCTGCAAGCCAAGCATCATCCATAAACCCAGCTCTAGAGAAGCTGTCACCACACCCTGTAGGTTATGTCCCCCTGTTTCCTGAGCCCCATCATTTCTCCCACAACTTGCCTTCACTTAGCAACACATCACACCATTTCCTATCCTACCCACTCCCCCACACCACAGGCATTCTCATCTCTATTAAAAAAAAATAGCTCTAATTTTTTTCTTGGCTCACAACACAAAATTGCAGATGGAAGAGAAGGGAGGGAAAGAGAGGAATGAGGGAGGGAGAAGACAGAGACGGAGGGAGGTAGGGAAGGAAGGAAACAGAAGCTAAAGGAGGAGGAACTCCCTGATCTCAGGTGGCCCATAATCCAACCTCCACCACCCATGCTCACTGCAGTCGTTTCCACTTACAATCTAAATGTCTCGTTCCACTCAGGGTTGAGGGAGCATTTGATGGTTTTGGTCTTCTGTTTGCTCTCACTTTTGGGATCAGGAATCAGTTTCAGTTTTACGTAGGGATCTGACAGGCCATTGGGGTCCATAGGTACAAGGTTTTTAGCATCTCTTACTGAAAAAGAAAAAGCAGTTTTTACCTTAATACTGTCCAACATGTTTAAGCACCAAGCAGTGACGGCTGCAGAACTTGTGGAAGGTTCTTTGGCATCACACTTGTTTAGTGAGAAATTTAATTTTATTAACATCCATAGCTGAAGCAGCACACAAAACGAGATGGGCTGATAAGATGTCAACTCTGTTCTGTGTTGGTTAAAAATGGATTTCCGACTTTCACACAGCTCTTCCCATACCAAGATTAACTGTAAGTTTTCTAAGCTTATTTTCCACAAAGCCCACAGGAAAGGCTGGCTTCTTTCGTTTAGCATAAGGTTTTCAAAGTTCACCACACTATAGCATGTATCGGCCCCTCATTTTTTTGCATGACTGAATAATATTCCATCGTACAGATATCCCACATTTTGTTTATCCATTCAGCAGCTGATCCACAGTTGGGCTGTTTCCACTTTTTGGCTGTTGTGAATACGGCTGCTATGAAAATTTGTATACCCCAGCACAAAAAGTCACATATTGTATGATTCCATTTACATGAAACATTTCAAACAGGTAAATCCATAGAAACAGCAAGTAGACTACTATTAATAGTTGCCAGTGGCTGGAGGGAAAGGGAAATGGGGAGTGACTGCTTAATGAATACAGGGTTTCTTTTAGAGGTGATGAAAATTTCTGAGAACTAGATAGAGATGATGGTTGTCCAACACTGTGAATATTCTATAAATGTCACTGAATTGTACATTTAAAAACAGTTAATGATTAATTTATGTTATGTCAATTTTACCTCCATTCAAAAAGAAAAAGCTAAAAAAGAAAGGAAGAATTAGCCTCTAAACCAAGGTACACCTATTATCCACGTATCACCCATAACTAGCACCCAGACAGCCCATAGAGAGAAGGCTGGGAAAATGTCAAAAGGGTTAGAACTTAGCTCTACCCTGAGTCCAGAACACCAAGGTAAAGGAGGCTATAAGGCTAACATGGTAAAACCCTGTCTCTACTAAAAATACAAAAAAAAAAGCTATGCGTGGTGGCAGGCGCCTGTGGTCCCAGCCTGCCCAGAGGCTGAGGCAGGAGAATGGTGTGAACCCAGGAGGCAGAGCTTACAGTGAGCCGAGATTGTGCCACTGCACTCCAGCCTGGGTGACAGAGCGAGACTCCATCAAAAAAAAAAAAAAAAAAAAGGTTGAACTTAGAGGAGAAAAGGAGGCAGAGAATCAGCAGTGAAGATGCAACTGGCCATAGAAAGGATGAGGGAGACTAAATCATCAGCCTGGAGACACAGGAAGTAGTTAATTAGGAATCAATTCAGAAACTAGTAATGCAGGTAGTCAATGGAAGGAGACTAGAAAATGACAATTGTATAGCTCTTAAGGATACAATGTCAATCATCTCACTTACAGTAGAACAATCCACAGTAATATATTCAATCCAAATTGACTAACTATCTGCTAAAAGGTGAATACATAATGACTCCTATCAGGAATGCAAAGATGGCTCAACCTTAGGAAATCTATTTTCAATATATTCATCATATTTGTAGATCAAAGAAGAAAACCACAAGACCATTGCAGTTATCTAGAAACAGCAGAGAATTTTATTAACAGGATAAAGGCTATCTGCAATAACAGCACCATGGTTCATGATAAATGCAATTCCATTAAAGTAAGGAATAAGACAAAGGTACCCACTACCATAGCCATTATTCAATACTTTTTTTTCTTGAGTTCCACAAGTACAGTAAGAAATAAAGAGTTACCCTCTAAACCAAGATGCACCTACTATCCATGTATCACCCATAACCTGCACCCAGACAGCCCATAGGGAAAAGGCTGGAAAAACATCCACAGCATAAATAAAACCAGAAATTTTCTAAATTCAAGATGACAAGAAAAACAGATTAGAAGGAAGAATATTGGAAAGTAGGAGAGAAAGCACCCCCTCACTTCCTGCAACCTTTGCTCACCCCCAATCATAGTCATCTCCTCCCATGGTCATGCTCTGGAGCCTATTATCCCAGAAATTATACCACTTTCTCAATCTCAGTTTCAAGTACCCTACTGTCTTACACCAATTTCTATTTTTCCAGTTCATTAGCTCTATTATTCTACTGCAATAAATCTTCCCCTATTCATCAGTCCATTCTCCACCAATCAGTCCCTTGAACCCAACACACTCTCTTGATTTCCCTATTCCCTCTTGCTTTTACTCCATTCATCCCCAGATTCGATTTTATGGTGCATTTTAGCTGCTCCCTTGGAAAGACCCTCAACTCCCTTGTCCCTCTTTCTTTTTATTTTACTTATCTCACAATACCCCAGCCCTACTTAAATTCAAATACCTGTCCTTTCTTACTGCGTCCTTTTCCTACACTCAAACAGCTGACCATTGCTGGAAAAAAAATAAGACTGACTTCCCTAAAATCATACAACTAGTAAGGGGTTGTGACCGAATAAATGAGATGGGAGAAGCATTGAATTGGCTACCAGGATGCAAGCTGTAACTTATTCTGCGCTGACATTTTTTCTGCACTCCAGCAATATGGCACTGTCTTCTATTTTTCCACAGGCTGAATTCATCTTCCATCTCAGCTTGCAAGCTACATCTCATTTTTATACCAAAAGCAAGATGTTGACCTTGATCAGTTAAGTTCAACAAGCAAGTCCCTACTAAGTGCTAAGCATTCTGCTAGGCTCTGGGGATATAGGGGTCAAAATAAAACGTTAATGTTTTCCCCAGGACAGACCATATGGTGTCATGGACACAGGACTACAAGATCCCAGGGTCCACATCTTACCAAGCAGTTACATCACACATATGAACCTCAATTTCTTGATCAATAAAATAAGGTTGTTACAAGAGTAAAACTGTACAAAGAATATACATGTTTAGCACAGAACCCGGAACTTAGAAAATACTTCAATAAATGTTAACTGTTATATATTACTGCTATTTCGTTATTATTCTTATTCATATTCATTGCCCTCTTTCACTATGTTTTTGGTGTGTGCGTGTGTGTGTGTGTGTGTGTGTGAGAGAGAGAGACAGGGTCTCACTTTGTCACCCAGGCTGGAGTGCAGTGGCATGATCATGGCTCACTGCAGCCTCAACCTCCTAGGCTCAAGTGATCCTCCCACCTCAGCCTTCCAAGTAGCTAGGACTACAGGTGCTTGCCAACCCATGCCTAACTAATTTTTTAAAAAATTTTTTGTAGAGGTGGGGGTCTCTTCATGTTGCCCAGACTGGTTTCAAACTCCTGAATGCAAATGATCCTCCGGCCTTGGTCTCCCAAAGTGCTGGGATTACAAGTGTGAGCCACTGTGCCTTGCCTATTTGTCTACTTTTATTATTAAGACTTAACCATTTCCAAATGGACTGACTTCAAATGGAACAATTTGTGGTTTTCTTCTTAACAATGTATTTGATGTTTACTTGAACCCTTCCACAGGAGAGCTTCTTGTGCATAAAAATTATTCAGAGGACTCATGAGACACAGATCTCTGGCATCCACCCCCACAGATAGATTCTGATTCCCTAAGTCTGCAGTGAAACCTGTCCATATGCTTTTCTAACACGTTTCCATGTGATGCTGATGCTGCCAGTCTATAAGACACGCATTAAGTAACATTGTTCTGGAGAATAATAATTTCTCAAAATAACCATGCATTTTCCCCATAGAATGTAATATCCAACTGTTACTTTCATTTCTTGAGCCTTCCAAGGAAAATAACATGTACCAGTTTCTAGGCTGGGATCTTGAAGTGACACATCTATCACATAGTGAGCTGCACGCACACAGGATTGAGATACTCAGAAGCGCCAGAAGTTTGTCTGTCAGGTTGATTGACAACACAGAGGCAAGAGGAAACAGCTCATCTTTCTTCTCCCTGGCAAGGCCACTCCCCCTCCTCCGCCCCAGTCTTAAGAACTGACACCACAAGGATAGTCACTGGAAAAAGATCTTCTATCGTAAGGTAAAGGAATTTACAGCTCTTTTAGAGTGCTCTTTGCTGGACAAGAGTGTTGTATTTTGAAGCTGTCAATCTCAAGACTCGTGGTTTAATTTTTTTTTTTTTTTTTTTTTTGAGACAGGGTCTCGCTGGAGTGCAGTGGCGTAATCACAGCTCACTGCAGCCTTGATCTCCCGTGCTCAAGCAATGCTACCACCTCAGCCCCCTGAATAGCTGGGACTACAGGCAAGTGCCACTACACCCAGCTAACTTTTAAAAAATTTTTGTAGAGATGGAGTCTCACTATGTTACCCAGGCTGGTCTCAAACTCCTGGCCACGAGCGATCCTCCCACTTTGGCCTCCCAAAGTGCTGGGATTACAGGTGTGAGCCACTGTGTGCTGCCAAAAATGCCCTTTTCTTGGGCATCTAATCGTCGCAGAGCCAAACATTACTCACTGAGGCATGACTCCACCTCTTCCCTCACCCTTATAGGTCCTTTCTTCTACTTTCGTCCTTTTGAGCTTATTCTCTACCAAAGGGGCCAAAACATTCCGTGGAACGGAATGCCATGGAATGGATCCTGAGACTGCTGGCATTCACATCTCCAAGAGCTCTGGCTACTAAAATCACTCTATCATGAGCAGTTGACAGTAGCTGCAGGCTAAGATCCAAAGGGCTGTCCCTCCTGAAGCGTTTCAAAGTTGAGTCGTGTTTCCCAGCAGCAAGAGAGCCGCATATGTATCGCGGAAGCAAATCTCTCTAGACCACACTTGGCGAGACCGACTTTGATTTTTCTTGATAAATGTTTCTTTACTATCTTTGTTGAAACCCAGCCAGCCCAGATGGTACCAAATGCTTCACACAAAGCAGAAATAGCAAACGTCCCCACTGGTGGAAGTTTGCTAAGTGTACAGGAGAAGCGTGTCCTGGTCCAGAGAACGCTGTTTGCCCTGGGCGTGGGGCTCTGGGTGCGGGGTGAGGTCTGCCTGTTTCCATCTACGGGTCTTTAGAGCAAGCGAGGCCTCTGTATTCTGGTCCAAGTTCCCTAA